AAACTATCTGACTGACTTCAATCGCTCAGCCGCCTGGCACACCGAGTGTGTGTGAAGGAAATAAAAGCAGAGTCCCTAATATAGCCTGATACACTGTGACCTGGACCCCCCACCCCCACCCCCACCCAAACACACACACTCTTACACACAGGGGACTCCCTGCTTTCTAACAGCTGCTGTGATTATTTTACCCGTTTCTCTGGATCGACCTTCGTCTGCTAACGAACAAAAACACCTACAAAGAGACACAAACTCAGAGAAAACGACGTCTGATTCGGACTCCGTCAGCCAGGGCGGCGGCAACGGGGACCTGAACGTCGCGACGGCTTTGAAAGTCTAAAAAAACAGAGTTTAAGATCCAAACAGAAATGATGAGATGATCAATGCTTACGGAAGAAGCAACGATTCAGATTCTCTCCTCAGAGAATGACAGACGGCACATCAAAGTTAACGTTTTCTAGATTTAAGGTCAAAAATAATTACACGTTACGCGTCGCACAACGTGAGAGACGTGGCTTCAGTTTTAACAGTTGCTTCCACCTGCAGCTCTCATGTTTGTTCCTGTTATTAAACACGTAATCAATACAAGTTTACAGAAAGAAAATTACCTCTCTGATGACTGTGGGTGGTTGCCGTGGTTACGTGGCAACCATGTAACCATGACAACCATCACATTAAAAAAAGAAAAACCCACACACACTCTCTTAGGTTGGTCCTACCGGCACCATCCTGCTGCCGAGTGTCCATCGTCTGTCTGTCTGTGGGCGTCTGATTTCAGGTGAGGAGCATGCTGGGTACGCTGTGATGTCACAGGATAAGTCTACACGGGATCCTTATGTGTGCAGCAACGCACAAAGACACGCATGCCATGAGGAGGCAGACTGAGCGGCGGTACGAGGATCAGAGAGAGAGAGAGAGAGCGAGCAGGCAGGACGTCCAAACACTGCAGAAAGGCATGCTGGGAAACCCACAAAGAGGGAAGGGGAGGGGCGGGGAGGGGAGGCTGATAGAGTGTCTCCACTGACTGTGTGACATTCCTGAATGTGAGACGGAAACCCTCGACAGACAGACAGCTGAGGCCAGACAGCTGCCCTCTCACTCTGACCACAACAACCGACCGAGCTGAAAACAAGATGCTGCAGTTCCACTAACGTCCACCAGAGGCCCCCCCAAGTGTGTAAGTGTTAAAAAGTCCAACTTCACAGTAGAAATCAGCATGTCTCTGTGTCAGAAAAGCAGGAGTGCACATTTAACAGCCTTTAAAAGTCTGACCTGAAGTATTTTCAACTAAAATCTGAGTTTTTCTGGATGCAGGAACCGACAGAGATCACAGAGAAACACAAAACTCAGAATGGAGTTCCACAAGGCTCTATTACCGATCCTCTACTTATTATTCAGATTATATCATCTTGTTTGTTTGCTTCTACAAATGTACAGAGGGTGTTTTTTTAAAAAAAATTTCATGTGTTAAAGTTATGATAATTCATTATTAGGGGCGTGATCTCTGACAGGTAGCTGTAGCTGCTAGCTGTCTGCTAGGCCTCGCATCAGCTAATTGGAAACCTGTACTGGGCCTCTAGAACTTGTGCTGTGGGATCCTCTCGAAGCATTTTTAAATCCAATAATCTGACAAATAATATGACTGCTGTGTGGTTAAATGTTCTGTCCAAGAATTCTAAGCTCTAATTTCAATGACTGCAATTCAAGGACTTTATTTAAATGTTACTCAGTGCTGATTAGCATGGATCTGATTTTAAGGCAGCTAGCATTAGCTGATATCCTGGTCACTTCTGGCTCAATAAAAATTAGACTATTGCAGTGAGCTGCATCGACGTAACATGCAGTTATATCTTTAGGAGGTGGACGTCAGCGTACAGCGGTGAGTGCAGCTTTAATTAATACAAACAAAACAATGCCACTGTCACTGATGAAAGACTTCCTAATAGGAAGCATCACTATACTGCCACAAGGTTCCAGCAGCAGACAGATGTGAGGAATGTAAATGAATTTAGGAATAAATATTAGAATATCCGGGAGGAGGCTCCGGGGCAGACTCAGGACACGCTGGTGAGATTATATCTCTCGGCTGGCCTGGGAACGCCTTGGTGTTCCCCCGGATAAGCTAGAGCAGAGGTCTCCAACCTTTTTTGCACCACGGACCG